CACATAATTCACAATAACATGTAACAATCGATCCCTATTCTTAATTTTGTAATTTCGTAATTCTATATTTCATTTTTTGTACTTTCTACCCATTGATATATACTTTATATATCATTTACATATAAATAACCCTTCTAATATGAGATAATTGGTTATGGAAATAGTCTGAGTAATTTAGAAAATTTTTTTAGGTCAAATCATGATTTTTGAAACTTTTAGGGTCAAAGTGTAATTTCTTTGAGGAATAAATTTTCTGTTTTCAGGGCTGCCATAAATTTTCCAGAATTTTATTCTTCTAACTTGCCAAATAAAAATATGATTAAAATTAAATTTATAAGGATATAAGGGTCCATATAAAACTCTTTGAAATCAAAGGGGATGTCCCTGTAATTTCTGGGTTTAACCTACTTCAACCTTACAGGATTTTCAGATTTTATTCCTCTCCAAACTTAACAAGTCAAATCATTCTTTTTCTTTGTCGACCTATTGTAGTTAAACAACTACAACCTCAAATTCAATCCAATAATTTTGATAATTAAAATAACTATGATGAGATCCATATATATATATATTATACACTATCCACCTAATACCATGTAATTGAATAAACTATAAAATCCATCAGATAAATAATAAACTCATACCTTTAATGGACCCAACCCATTTGTCTTCTCTCTCTCTCTCTCACACACACCTTATTATTATTTTTCTTTGTTCACTGGATAGGCATCTCCACAAGCTTTCTCATCAAAAGACCCTATCAAACCTAAAAATATCTATATATATATAAGAAGAGTTTGACCTATCCAACAATACTACCATATTTAAAGTACATTTTTGTATGGGTTATTACAACATTGCATCTCCTAAACTGTTTTTACTTCATGGAGTTCCCATGTTGATATGCTACTCTCTCTTCAAAATGCAAAAAACATATATTGTAAATATAAGAGAATTTTTCTCTGTTTGTGCAGGTCATTTTCTTTTGACAAGTCTTTTGTTGGAGAACATGAAAAACACAGCACGTGAAAGCCTCAAAGAAGGAAGGATTGTTAATGTTTCATCAATGGGTCATAAGTTCACTTACCCGGAAGGAATTCGTTTCGATAAAATTAATGATAAACCAAGGCAATTGATGAACAGTTTTTAATTTTTATGCCTAATTAATGTTAAATTTTTGTTTTTAAAACATGAAGTCCATTTATCAGACATTAATCCTTACTATCTGGTTTTATTTTTCAGTTACAAGAGTTGGAGTGCTTATGGACAATCAAAGCTTTCTAACATATTGCATGCCAATGAGCTGGCAAGGTGCTTGAAGGTAATTTGTTGATTTGTTCTACTCCTTTCCAGACAACAGTGGGTTGCAAAGTGGATAGAATCTGTACTAAATTCAGCGAATGCCACTAAGTATACCAGTTTGTTTTAGTGTCACTTTCATGGTTTTATGTTAGTCTTTTGCCATTGTAGCTGAGGTGCCTTGGTGTCGACTAAGCAAAGTAGTTGTTCCTTCAAGTGACACTGTTTGAGGCTGCAAAAGAGAATTTTGTTAGTTAATTTCTCAATAATAATGTCTATGGCTAGAGATGTTTAATGGAGCGGTGATTACATTCCATTGCAGTGTTTGGTTTGGATCCAGTGAAAGAAACAAATGGTTGGATTTTAAATTCAACAATCTGAAACACCATAAAAAAATACTGCCTAATTGGACTCATGAGACTCATAAAAAAAAAAAAAAATATCATGAGACTCATAAAATGCCAGCCCTATGGGATGATCACGGATGTTGGGTCATTTGAACCAGTACTGAAAGAATGCGTTGTCATTTGATCCAGTACTGAAAAATCACTCTTGAGCTTACTTAAAGTTTCGACTTTAGAGAAATATAGTAGTCTTGGCTTACCTCCTGCCGAATTCTAATTGTTCATCTTGATGTTAACCGTAGGCTACCAAATTATGTGAATGTTGGTAACTACGGGAAGTTGAGATTTTTAATGAATTTTTTCGAACACATCATACATATGTAATTAAGGCTGTTTCTGTATCATGTGACTTGTGAGGCATGACAATTATCAAAGTCACTTGTCCCTTTTATTTGAAAGCAGTTGCTGTCCAATAATCATCTTTGTTGGGATGTAGTGTAATATCTTTTTTTCTACCATTGACCAGGAAGAAGGGGTAGAGATAACTGCTAATTCACTTCATCCTGGAGCTATTGCCACTAATCTTATGCGTCACCACAGCATTATGAATGGTAAACATAAGGACTTTTCACCTTCTGATTGTTTATGTTCTACAAATTACAGTAAATATAGTTGGATTGCTGTGGTTGAGTTCCAAAAATAAAAACCTGCAAATACACTTACACTTCTTTTGGATAATGTGAAGCTTGTTAATTGTATCATTCAAAAGCAAAAATCCGTATACCTTGTTCCTGAGACATTTTTTCCTCTGGTTGTGTGTGCAATATTTCTTCATGCATCCATTGCTAAGTCTCTATGAAGCATAAGTTAAAATCGTATGTCTGCAAAAAAGGTAAGGCTTGTCAAGAAGGATTCTGTTATTTTCACTTAGTTGGATTACATATTACTACTAGAAAGAACATACTCTAATTGTAAAGCATTTAGATACAATTTAAAAGAGGGAGTAGATATACGAGATAGTTTACCAGAGGGATTACATATTACTACTAGAAAGAACATACTCTAATTGTAAGTCTCTAACTACTGGTTACATTTAATTTAGGCTACTAAACGTATCAGTTGGAAAGTTCTGTCCGTGAAGTATGAATTTTAGGTTTACAAGTTTCAAACCATGCTAGAATGCAATTTCATTTCTTGAATATCCCAAAAAACTTTGAACATAATCAGTCCGTAAGTTTCTCTCTCATTTTATGAGTCTAGAATTATCTGGATTGATGTCAATGCTTTTTCCCCCCCCCATCATGCAGGCTTGTCTAACTTGATTGGTAAATTTGTGCTAAAAGATGCTGCACAGGTTTGTAATCTTCCATTTTTAAGTGCAATAATCTTGAATTTTTACGCAAGGATCCCAATGGTGGTCGTTTGAGACAAATATAGCTCCTTATGTTTCCATGACACGGTTTTCTTATTGGTGTTTTTTTTTTTTTTTTTGTGGTTCTAGGGAGCGGCAACAACATGCTATGTGGCACTGCATCCACAAGTTAAGGGTATTAGTGGTGAGTATTTTTCAGACAGTAATGTAGCTAAACCGAGCTCTCAGGCTAAAGATGCAGATTTGGCAAAGAAACTGTGGGATTTCAGCATGGGCATGACGCAGCCCAAGTAGCTTGGATGATAGCCTTACCGAGTTGATCTGTTAAATGCCGTTGCCCGTGTCTTATTACTTGTGAAGCTGGGAGTTGATTGTAGTTTGTTCATTGTGAGCTTGCAAATATGTAAAACAGTTAAAGTAGAACCCCCCCCCCCTTCTCTCCAACCTCTCCTTTTTTGTGTGTATGTTTTTTTTTCTTTCTTGGTTTGATAAGCATAATAAAGAGTTAAAACTTGATTACTGTCATTTTGTAATTATATAGAGAAGTTACAATTGAGGCTTGTTGCAGGGCCAACCTTAAGGCAAGGCCATTGAAGTGGTCACCTGGGGCTCCCACCATTCTAAAGGCCCCCGATTGTCAAATGAAAACTCATAATATTTAGGAAAACTTGTGGGGATATAATTTTTTGAAAATATTCTAAGAAAAGTCTGTCGTCTTTAAGTTAATAAGTATACTTTCTATAAAAAATTTAATGATTAAGTGTGTATTTTTAAATTTTCATATTTTAATAGTACCTAAATGTCGTTACTTATTTTATGAAATATCTAGTAGCTTTTTTTTTTATTTTGTTTTTATTGACTGAGTGATTTCCTATTTTAATGGGCAATTAATTGTTTGAATTTTAAAAATATTACAAAAACATATTTGGCAGTTAATATTTTTGTTGTATATTAATTCAAACTATAATTATTCCTTTTTATATCTTTATTTTTTATTTTCATCTTTTTCAAACAGTTATCGATGCCCATTATCGGTCTTCTACAAGAGAGGTCATTAATTTTATGATATTTAATGTTACACTATTTTTAAATTTACGTCATTGTTTGATGTCACATTATTTTTAAAATTATATAACTCTTTGATGTAGCATTATTTTTTTAAATATGTCATACTATCTTTTAATTATGTCACTCTTTATTGTGTGAATTCATTTTTTGATGTCACGCTATTTCTTAATTATGTCATTCTGTTTTTTAACAAACTCAAATTCTTGAGGTTTGTGAATTTTTTAGGGATTTGAGGGTTAATAAGTAAGAATTTTTTAAGAAAATCATAACATTTTAATATAAGAAAATAGTCGCTCTTGAAATCTAAGAGCTTGTTTGGTTTGTATCTCAAAAAACAGTTTTCAAAAATAGTTTTTGAGAAAAATTTTAAGAAAATGTTTTTGAAATTTTTTAGATTTCAAAACCTGTTTGGTTATATATTTTTGAAAATAATTTTAAAAAACAAAAAATTGTAAAATATATTTGGACAATAATCCAAAAAACTAATTTTTAAATTATTACTTTTGCCCCCCCCAAAAAAAAATACACTTTTGTACTTTCACTCTTCGGTAATCACTCCACCGTCTTAATTCTTTTTTTTTTCTCTCTCTCCACATTATCTTCCCACATAACAAGAATAGTCACACACACAGAGCCAACAAACACCTACCCACACATACAGCCATTGAACACCCACCGACACACACATACACACATATATATGTATGAATTATGTGATGTATATGAATATGAGTATGTGGGTGTGAGATGGTTGTATGTGTTGGTGGGTGTTCAGATTTGTGTATATATCGGTATATTATGTGATGTTTATGAATATGAGTGTGTGGGTGTGAGATGGTTGTATGTGTCGGTGAGTGTTTAGATCTGTGTATTTATGTATTATGTGATGTATATGAATATAAGTGTGTGGGTGTGAGATGGCAGTATGTGTCGGTGAGTGTTCAGATCTGTGTATATATTGGTATATTATGTGATGTATATGAATATATATATATATACACACACACATAGATCTGTGTATATATACAAATATGTTCAAATCTGCTGCAGGGAGAGAAAGAGAGGAGATGAATTGCGTGAGAGAAGAATATAGTTGTTCGTTGTCGATCTTTGGCCTTCGTCGGTGCTCATATATTGTCGTCGAACTTCGGCAGAGAAGGAGAAGACAACTGGAGTTAATCGTCGGTGCTCCTATTTTGTAGTTAACGAGATTCGATGGTGGGATCTCATTAATTGGGCTCGTTTTCCTTGTTTTCTGTGTTCTTGAAAATTTGTCCTCAAATTCAGCCAAAACACCCTCAACATGTTCTCTAAAAATCATCTCAATTCCCACTTTTTTCTAAAAATTAGAGATTGAAAAAATCTAACCAAACATGTTTTCCTTGTTTGAGAATAAAAAACAGTTTTCTAAACACAAACCAAACATAATTTTAATAGTTCCATTTTTTGCATGGAAAGAATTTCGGTTGCACATTTTTATGGAAGGTGTAAGGGGTAGAACCCTCCACTCAGGATTTCGGCTTGACCTGGGTTAACCCACGCGGGCGACCCCCCAGTAGCCTTTACCTCTCTTCGCCAATAGGACCCTTTCTTAAGGCAATCCCACATCGGAAGAGAGTCGTCTTCCCCCCTCGCATATAAGCCCTTGCACTCAAAGGAGGAGGTACCCACTAGCGACCTGATCAGGTGGCCCTAGTGGGTACCTCCTCCTTTGAGTGCAAGGGCTTATATGCGAGGGGGGAAGACGACTCTCTTCCGATGTGGGATACGGTGCGCCCTCCCCACATTAGGCTAGGCCAGGGCTCCGGCTCAGGAAGAGGGGTAAAGGCTACTCCCGAACGCGCGGAGGTCAAGCCGAAATCCTGAGTGGAGGGTTTCATCCCTTACATAAAGGCGCCTTTTTGTAAGGGGTAGAACCCTCCACTCAGGATTTCGGCTTGACCTGGGTTAACCCACGCGGGCGACCCCCCAGTAGCCTTTACCTCTCTTCGCCAATAGGACCCTTTCCTAAGGCAATCCCACATCGGAAGAGAGTCGTCTTCCCCCCTCGCATATAAGCCCTTGCACTCAAAGGAGGAGGTACCCACTAGGAGTAGCCTTTACCCCTCTTCCTGAGCCGGAGCCCTGGCCTAGCCTAATGTGGGGAGGGCGCACCGTATCCCACATCGGAAGAGAGTCGTCTTCCCCCCTCGCATATAAGCCCTTGCACTCAAAGGAGGAGGTACCCACTAGGGCCACCTGATCAGGTCGCTAGTGGGTACCTCCTCCTTTGAGTGCAAGGGCTTATATGCGAGGGGGGAAGACGACTCTCTTCCGATGTGGGATTGCCTTAGGAAAGGGTCCTATTGGCGAAGAGAGGTAAAAGCTACTGGGGGGTCGCCCGCGTGGGTTAACCCAGGTCAAGCCGAAATCCTGAGTGGAGGGTTCTACCCCTTACAGAAGGATTGCATCAATTTAAAAGTTTTTCTCTTGAATCTTGCATGGGCATTCTATGTTTAAAGGAGTTTGAATGAAGCTCCATTAAAGGATTACATATTTCTGCTAGAAAGAACATATGCTAATTGTAAAACATTTAGATGCACTTTAAAAGAAGGAGTAGATATACGAGAGAGTTTACCCGTAGAATTGATACTATTCACTGTGTAGATATTTGTTATATATTCATCTGAAACTAAGTTGATAATAGAAGTTGGTCTCTAATTACTGGCTACATATTATTTAGCATACTAACATTATCAGTGTGTTGGAAGTTATGTCCATGAAATATGAATTTTAGGTTTACAAGTTACAACCGTGCTAGAATATGATTTTATTTCTTGAATATCCCACTAAATTTCAAACATAATCAGTCTGTAAGTTTCTCTCTCATTTAACGAGTCTAGAATTATTTGGACTGATGTCAATGCTTTTTTTCCCCCCATGATGCAGGCTTGTCTAATTTTATTGGTAAATTTGTGCTAAAAAGTGTTGCACAGGTTTGTAATCTTCCATTTTTAAGTGCAATAATCTTCTATTTTTTACACAAGGATCCCGACGATGGTGGTCCTTTTAGACAAACATAGCTCCCTATGTTTCCATGACAGAGTTTTCTTATAGATGTTGTTTTTTATGGTTTTAGGGAGCGGCAATTACATGCTATGTGGCACTGCATCAACAAGTTAAGGGTATAAGTGGTGAGTATTTTTCAGACAGTAATGTAGCTAAAACGGTCACCTCTTATGTTAAAGATGCAGATTTGGCAAAGAAACTGTGGGACTTCAGTGTGAGCTTGACACAACCCAAGTAGCTTGGATGACAGCGTTACTGAGTTGATCGATGAAATGCCTTTTCCCATTGTCATGTCTTTTATAGTTGTGAAGCTGTTGTGTAATATTCTTTGAAACAATTGGAAGGTTGTTAGTAGTTTGTTTGTTCATTGTGAGCTTGAAAATATGTAAAACAGTTAGAGTGGATCCTCCTCTGTTTCTTGTATGTGTGTGTCTTTTTTCTTTCTAGGTTTGTTAAGCATAATAAAGACTAGAAATTTGATTACAAAGATGGGGCTGTTGTTTTGTAATTATATGGAAAAGTTAGAATAGAGGCTTGTTATCTTATCCCAATGGTCACTTCACAACCATTCATGTTGTATGTTGTATTGAAGCTACTAAGTTATCAACATCAAGATAATTTGCACAATGAACTTTTTTTTTTCTTTCATTTAAGTTTTTTCCTATTGAATTTTATTAGCAAAGTTTTAATAAAACAATATTCATGTACAATTAAAGCTATCTATTAGAAATTAATTTAGTCCTTTTTTGGATTCTTGAAAAAGCCCTAGGTTGCAATTCAAATTGGGCCTTTTTGCTTTTTAAAACCCTAGGTGATAAATAGAAACTTCTTTCTTCATTCTTCCTTCTTCACACAATCTTGAGAGAGGAGGAGAGATTTTTCTAGAAACCTTTGGAGATCCACGGTTTAGGATTCTCGAGTTTGAGCATCAATGTCAACTAGAAAGGAGGAGGTGCAAGCATCCACTATCATCGAAGAATGAGAGGTATGCATTGAACGTGATGGCCACCTTGCCGCCCAACATGGTGGAGGTGGTTGGAAGTTGTAGACATGATGGTGACCAGAGGAAGAGAGAGTATGGGCGAAGGTCGGGTACCTTGGATGCCTCCCATTATGGTAATCGAGGCTACTGCGAGCATGGACAAGGACAGGGCGCCAATGTGGGGGTGCCAGATATGGGCGCTGCTGTGGAGTTCCTTTGGGCATCACTGGGGAGCGTGGTGGCCTGGTGTGGTGACAGAGGAACATCCCAAGCGGCATGGAGAGATGGGTGAGCAGAGGGGGAGTTGGGTGCTGCTGGTTTGATGGGCGCAACACCTGCGTAGGCTAGCAGGCGAGCATGGCGAGGTATTTTTAGGGTCGCAGACTGCTGGGCGCGCGTGGACAGAGCAACCTCTCCTCATGCCGCTGATTGGAGATGATTTAGGCGTGCATTGAGGTGCCTTAGGCACCTCGGGCAAGCCTGAGGTTGCTTTAGGCGAGCCTAGGACTACCTTGGGCGCCTTTGGCAAGCCTGATTCTGGAGTTAAAGAACATAGTGCAACGAATACTTTTGGTGGGAATGATTCGGCTCTTCCGAGTGTAACTTCTCAAAATCAAATTCTTCAAAACCTCCCCGGCAATGGCTCAGACAAAGTTTCACGCCTTCATGCCAAAGAGCATCGAGGCAAGCTAGCTTTCGATGATGATGGGTCCAAAGTAAGTTCTATCTCCATCACTTTTCAATATTGTGCGGATAATCTCTACCTACCACATCCCTTCGACTATGCTATGTCGTCGAGTTGAGATGGGTGAACCTGCCTTTGATGACTCCTCTGGTGACATTGTCATCTATGAGGAGATGTTGGAGGCTGGGCTCAGGTTTCCCATGTCTCTTTCTATATGTAGTATTCTCCATTACTTTTCACTCACCCCGGGGCAGTTATTACCCCACGGTTGGAGAGTTTTGCTAGGTTTCTTGGTATTGTGGAGGAAAGTGCATCATGAAGATGCCTCCCCTATTGAATTTCATGCAACTTATAACTTGAGTGAGACTTCTACTCCATATAGAGGGTGGTACTATTTTACCACGAGAGGTGGTAAGTTGCTTACGAGATTACCCTCTAATTACCACAACTAGAAATCCTGTTTCTTATTCGTCGACGGAGAATGCGCTGTAGAGGTCGATAGGGTTTTAATACCAACACGATGGAGTGTTGCTAGGAAACTCGGTACACCCTATACTTACTTTTTTTTTTTTTATGTGTACCCATCCATCATTTCCTTGCAGATCTGCCTGTGCTCTCCAAAGACCAAGAGTGGGAATTGCAGGCCGTGAGGGCTCATTCTAACAAGGACTTGGGAGTCCTTTTGCCCAAGGATGCTAGGACTATTACTCCCTCCCCAAAGTCCGGCGGCTCCTCTTCGAAGAGGAAGGGTGAGTTGATTTTTTTTTTTACCTTCCTCCTTCGGTTGGTATTTTTCATGTGGGTAATACTTTCTTTCCTTTACACCCGCCTCTCCGGAAGGAGTCCTCCTCCTTCCAAGGTGGCGAGGACGGGTGACGTTTCCCAAAGTGACATCTCTCAAGTGACCTCTCCAACGGTGCCGCCCGAGGTGAGCTCCTCTCAGTCAACTCCTCCATTAGTACCTCAGGTGCTCTCCCCTCAGGTGGCCCCTCCAGCGGTGCCTCTTTAGTTGGAGACTCCCTTGTTGGCCACACCTTCTGCCCCCCATTTATCTACTCCTCCTGTGAGGACTTTTATCGGGGCATCTTCTTAGATTAGCTATATACTGGGCAATGTATGAGTCATCAAAGAGCGACTTGGGAGGTTTGTGTTCTCCAATGATGTGAATGAGATTAGTTCCTCAAGCACCGAGGGTATCCTCACCTCTTTTTTGGAAAGCTAGGCTCAGGTATAGGTTTGTTATCTTCCTCTTCTCCGATCCTTCCATAATTGTTTGATATCCTTTTGCCTTTTATTTTTCTTCAGGCTTTAACCGCATCTATGTGTTTACTTTCCAGGGACCTCCTTTATCATAAGCTAAAACACGATCATGAAGTCGCGCAAAATAAGCTTCTTGTTGCTCAAAGGAGGATTGCTAAGCTTGAAGCTACTGGCAGGGCTTCTGATGCTGACCTTGTGGCAACCAGTGAGAGGCGACTAGTCTTGAGGCTGAGCTTTCGATGACCCATGGGAGGGTGGCCGGGCTTGAGGCTGAGCTTGTTGAGGTCTGTGAGAGGGTCACGCTCAGTGAGGTTGAACTTTCAGTGACTCATAGGAGGGCGGCCAAGCTCGAGGCTGAGCTTGCAGAGGTCCACGAGAGAGCCACACTCAGTGAGGCTGAACTTGCAGAGACGCGCTAGAGGGTCATGTTCAAAGAGGCTGAGCTTTCGACTACCCATGAGAGAGCGGCCAAGCTCGAGGCTGAGCTTGCGAAGGTCCGTGAGAGAGCCCTGCCGCAGAGGTAGAGGTGAAGGCTGCTTAGAAAAGAGCTTCTTGAGCTGAGGCAGACCTAGAGAATGACATTGCAGATGCTTTCATTGACGGTCATGAGGAGCTCCAGGAAAAAAATTATACTACTTTCCCTGATATTAATGTCTCAGGCTTCTTGCCAACTAAGGCACCTAATGATAGTGATGGAGGTTCTGACGATGCCGAGGGTGATGATGAAGATGACGACCATGAGTAATTTGAGTGCTAGGGACTTTTTGGTTTTTTTTTTTGTTTTGGAAAAGCATTTTGTAGCCATACTTTTGTAAAAGTGGTTTTTGCCACTGATGCTACTTTAAAGTTTGAGAAGTTGAATATGAAAATGCAAAGATCTTTTTGAAGTAAATATAGAAATTTTATTCATTTTTCAGCTCATATAAAACAATATCAGATAATAGCCCCACAAAATAAAACCAAGTCCCTAACTTTTCTACTCTCTCAAGGTGTCACTGATAGTACCTCTTCAGGTGTTCAGTATTCCATGGATGGGGCAAAACCTTCTCCTCAGAACTTTGTATCTTATAGGTGTCCGGTCTCACCACTTCTGTTATGAGATAGGTTCCCTCTTAGTTTGGTCCTAGCTTTCCTTCTTGTGAATCCTTTGTGGCGAGGATCACTTTCTTGAGGACCCAGTCTCCTAGTTGGAAAGAACGAGGCTTTACCCTAGAATTGTAGTACTTTGCCATGCGGCGCTTGTATTTCGCATTATTGTCAAACTATTTTGCGTTGTCGTTGATGATGGCGTGGGGTATCCCGAAGTGACAGACCAGGTTTTTTCAAATGAAATCTTTCACGTTTGCGTCTGTTATCTTTGCTAGGGGTTCTGCCTCCGCCCATTTAGTAAAGTAGTCCACTGTTATCACCACAAACTTGCACTGTTCTCTACAGAGAGGTAGGGGGCCCAGGGTGTCGATGTCCCATTTGGAGAAGGACCACAGACTTGTGATGACCGTGAGTTCCTCTGGTGGCTGCCTAGGCACAATGGCAAAGCACTAACACTTGTTGCACTTCTTGGCGAATTCCTGGGCATCCCTCATCATGCTAGGCCATAAGTAGTCTTGTCTGAGGGCTTGTGGGTGAGTGAGTGTCCTCCAGAGTGATTTTCACAAACTTCTTCATGGATCTCCCGCATGGCATAGTCAACTTTTTCAGGTGAGAGGCATCTCAGTAATAGCAAGGAGTAGCCTCTCTTGTACAGGGTGTCTTGTAGGACAGTAAACTTAGAGGCTCTCATCCTGAGCTTCCTGACTTTTAGAGGGTCCTCTGGAAATGCACCTTCTTAGAGGTATGCCCTTATCGGGGTCATCCAGTTTGATTCAGCCTATACACAGTTGACGTTTTTGGATTCCATGTCTAACTTGTTTGGTCCGAACTGGTGACCAATGAATGTTGGTCCTCCTAGTGGGGTTTCTAATGTTGTCTTCTCTTGGGATGTGACAGATCTGAAAGTATTGGAACTTTGTGATCAAGCTTTTCACTATGCCGAGATATTCCTACATTTTGGCTCCTTTTGCTTCAAACTCGCTCTTTACTTGATTAACAATCAGTTGAGAATCATTGTAAGTGGCGAGGTGCCGGGCTTCCATTTCAGCTGTCAATCTTAATCCAGAGAAGAGGGCTTTGTATTCTACCTCGTTGTTAGAAGCAGTAAAGTGGAGCTTCATTGCATACCTGAGGGGAGTACCGTCGGGGCTGATCAAGATCAGGCCTGTTCCTCCTCTCTCACTGGTCTATAAGCCATCTACATAGAGCTTCCAGAGTGCTAGAAAGGAAGGCTCGAAGATTAAAGTGGGAGCCTGGACGCCAAGTTGGGCGCCTGAGGGGGGAGATTGGATGCCTGAGGTGAAGGGATAGGCGCCTAAGGAGGAGAATTGTGCGCTTGAAGAGGAGAACTAGGCACATGGAGAGGAGATCTGGGCGCCTGGATGGAGAGCTGGGCACCAAAAGGGGCTTGGGCGCCAGGAGAGGCTTGGGTGCTTGGTCTGGATGCCTCATTATTCTCGTTGAGCATCCGGGTGTCCTCGCTGGGCGCTTGATTGCTTTGCATGGCTCAACGTCTGAAGTGTGGAAAGCTCATTGGCCTCCTCCTCTATTGGTATAAGCTCAGCAATAAAATCTGTCAATGCTTGTACTTTGATGGCCGCCCTTGGCTGGTATTGAATGTCGAACTCCCTTAGTTCCATTGCCCACTTGAGGAGTCTCCTAGATTCATCCAATTTTTTCAAGACTCTTTTTAGAGGTTGATCCGTGATCACGACAACGGTGTGACTCTGAAAATAATGTCGTAAACACCTATCTGTTGTGATGAAGGCGAGTGTTAGCTTCTCTAGCCTTGAATACCTGATTTTTGTTCCTCGGTAGGCTCTGCTCACATAATAGATGGGCTTTTGCACTCCATCATTGTTCCTGACGAGGATGGAGCTTACTGTTGAGGGAGAAGTAGAAAGGTATAGGTAAAATATTTCTCCTGATACGGCATGCGACAAGAGAGGAGGCTTAGCCAAATAGGTTTTGAGCCTTTGAAAGGCCTCTTCTACCTTAGGTCCCCACTGCAAGCTTTTTGGAGAATCTTGAAGAAAGGCAAGCATTTGTTTGCAGACTTGGAAACAAACCTGGTGAGTGCTGCAATTTTCCTATTGAGGTGCTGGAGCTCCTTGGTTAAGGAAGGCGACTTCATATCTAAGATGGCCTTGATCCTCTTCTACCTTAGGTCCCCACTGCAAGCTTTTTGGAGAATCTTGAAGAAAGGCAAGCATTTGTTTGCAGACTTGGAAACAAACCTGGTGAGTGCTGCAATTTTC